CTTTTCAACAAAAATATCTCCAATCGACAACAATATGATCGTTTAGCTGTAATTCATTTATTAAAGATCTATATGGAGGTGGCTTCATCATTACAAAATAAACAATACACTAGCAAATTGTAGGAAGATTCAAACGTGATCGTTCAAACCATGTGGAATGCAATGATTTTAAAATTGCATGTACTTTTTGTCGTTCTCAATTTTTAATAACTTTATTGTATATCATTTTACAATGAAATATATGATTTTCAGCATCATTGCGTAATTTCAGTGAATTTTTATTCCTTGGGTATATTATTTCACTGCCCATTACTTTTTTTTTTACATAAATAATTCCACAGAAGATCGAAATTGTGAGTTATATTTAAAACTAATTCAAAAGTATATTAGATGGTCGCAAAAGTTTTTTAAAATTTTTCATGTTATATGACTTATTAACTGGCACGTACTGAATAAGATCGTTTAATGTATTTGAGTGAAGAAATCAAAATAAATTTTTTGCATTTATACTACTATTATATATAAATAACCTAACATTATATATTAATATTTACAATATTTACGATAATACAATAACGATGATATATTTCTATTTGTAAAATTCGGGAGATCCGCTTGCAAAGAAGATAATGCTCAGTGTGGAACGGAAGAATTTAGGAGAGTACGACATAGTTATTAAAAAACAGAAAGATTAAATAACATTCATATGTTCTGTGTGTCAAGTGACTAAGCGTCATTATTTCAGGAATGAAATTGGTGTGTGGATGATATAATTATCTCCGAATAGCGATTATGATTTGTGTATTTATTCAATTAAAAGAATGCATAAAAATAAGAAAACAAAATTTCCAGTTATTTCTGAATTTTGAAATAAACATTATACAATATTTATTTATACTTAGCGCATTTTTTGCAAATTATTGAGTCCTGAATGACACATTTGTCACACACATATTTTTGGGATTTGAAAGAGATCTTTGTAGTCTTGTTTCCTTTGCAATAACTTATTTGACATTTTTTTCTCATACATGGATATACATTTATTGACTTTCCTTGTATATCTTCTTATTCTCTGTGTTGCATATCTTGTAAATCGCCCGCAAGTTATTCAGCCAATTGAAGTACAAATTGTTTCAAGTACAAATTTTTCCCGGATTGCTTCTTCATTCAAAACCCACGAATTTATTCCGGCTAAATCAAGAATGTTAAACAAGGTCTACATAGGCTACATTCGAAATTTCGATTTTATGGAATACTATCGTGCTATTTGATCCGTCATGTCAAAACCGAATTTATTACAGTATTATTAAAGTATTATAGAATCTAATTGTGTCTGAAATTATCACTTTTTTCAATTTTTATAGATTTATATTTTGAGCAGAGTAGAAACACTTTTTTAATTGGCTTACTCGTAAATTCTATGTATACAATAATCTAATTTGTACAGATTTGTTGAGAAATATGGTATACAATTATCCAACTGCTTTACGAATTTTGATAAAACTCTTTTATTTCCACGAACGATAGTGATTTTTCTATCGAGTAAATTTGCAACTAGTAATGTGCTCATTAACTTCAAAAAAATTAGTTCTGCAAATAAGTATGAAAATTTATGCCAAAAAATTATTCTACGAGTTTTATGAACCGTTGCAGTAGGTAGGTCATTTATTTCTCAGAGAAAAAAAGAAAAAATAAGAGAGACATAAATACATTGGATGTAAATAATAATAAAAGTCGTAAAGTCAAATGGCGATTTGATAACATTGTGTGTAAGAAATTTCTCCAGAAAGTTTAAAAAGGCTCATTTCATAGCTTTAGAATGAATACATTTTATATTATAATAGTAAAGACAGTAAGATTCAACTGATGGTGAGTAAAAAACAGTATAAAAACAAATCCATAACGATCGTAAAGGGGTAAGTCAAGAAGGGACTATATCACACGAAAACAAAGGAAAAGTTTCGTACTTTTCGTCACATATGTTATTTTTTTAGTTTTTGCATTCCGTTGTCATTGTTGCGGTAACTTTATAATATAAACTGGTAAAACTATTGTCAACGTTAGTATCAATAAATAACTTTGTATTTTTATACATGCCGGTAGATATTTTGGCATATGCTAATTGTTATCAATCTGGCGAAAAGTTCTGGAATAGCTGGTATCTCATAGTAAAAATCAGTTGGAGTTGCAGAAAAATTATATTGAAAATTTCTCGTATTCCGAAGAGTTAGGCATATCTATTGATAGGCGGTCATACGTCGAAATTATCGAAGATACTTAAGGATTGGAATTTTTTGGTTGTTCCCATGAAAATTAATGTTTTATTTTACCATTTTCCTGAAAACTCTTGGGATAATGCAATGTCTGTGATGGATTCTGAAGGACTCGTGAGAAAGATGCGCGATAAAAAGCAATTTGTAAATTTAAATTTATAACGATACATCTAATATATCTAAGGTATACGAAGGATTAATGAGATACGAAGGTTTCGATATTCACATTTCGTTATTGTGTATCGTTAAATTGTGCTGGCTACATCCGAGTGAGACATAACTAATTTAGCCAATAAGCCTTACTATCTTTAACTTCAAACTAGAGGGTTGATTTCGACGATGGCTTCTCTTGGGTTATCAGCGAAGACGGTAATAAAATAAGGAAAGTGAAAGAGAATGGGTAAGGTTCAAGGAAGAATATGAAGTTTAGAAAGGGAAGGAATGATGCTTATTGGTCGTGTACGCATCAGGATATTTCGTCCAAGATGGATAAATAATTTCATGTTGGCTCCTTTGTAGTGGCGACCGTAAACATTCATAAATGACGAATTGTTAACTTAAGAAACGGTTCAATCGTGTACAGTCATCGATTGTATATAAATGTTCAGACACAGAACGACTACCGTACGGTTATATAGAAATGGATCCTAAATCATATCATAAAATATTTTTTTTTATTAATTTCATTTATATTTTTTTTATTTATTTTGGAAGAAAGATAAATTTTTTTGAGATATACTATTTCCTTAAGAGTATGAGGATTAAGGTATTGCTATTTTCGAACAATAAACATTTATTCTCAATAATAAGTTTACACTATTTTAAATTACTATCGAATCATTCCTTGAGGTCAAAAACGTTTCTCTCTTTCTTTCTCTCTATCTCTCATTCGTTATACACCATCTAACTTTTATTGATACAGACAGTATTGATATGCCCATACGGATGCAGACACGCAACATTTCTTAATACGATAGACCGAGTCAGATTCCTTTTAACAAACACGGAACTCTTGCAAATTTATTATAATAGCAACCAACTTTTCTTCTAAACTTTATTTATCTACTTTTTTTTGGATATGACCCACAATTCTCTACAGTTCCAATTTCTGGAACTGTAACCAGAATATTTATTTCTGTACTTAATCAGGTTTTTTCTAGCAATTTTATCGCTACGACTTATAAGACAATAAAAAATGAATGGATCTTAGAATAGGAGGTCCGTTACTGTAATAATACGAATATTTTTGTGATATAGCCTAGACGAATACAAATTCATTGAGCAACGTATCATTTAACGTACTTACGTATAGACGCTGTAAGTGGAGAGGATACGGAAATGGCAACTTATATCAGAAAATATTGATATAGCGAGAAAATTTTTTTACATCATAAAAATATTGTTAACTACGAAGTGTCACGTAAACATTTAATTGCTTGATGAAAAAACATGAGTAAATATATAATTAAGATTGATTTCGCCCAAAAATGAGAAAAAATATCTGTAAATATAATGGGAAAGTAGAATAATTATTTTATTAAGGATAAATGCTACCTTTTCGTTGTTGGTAGAAGTTGCTCTAACGTTTGCCAGCGATCAACGAGGTAATATCAAATTATTGAACGATTTCAATATTAGTTAGTAATATTTTCAAACTAATTGTCGATAAATTTTAAAGTAGTTGTCATTCGGGAAAATTCACCGACCCGTTCAGAAACATAACCTCATTGGATAACATTAACTTACTCAATGTTATTCAAATTAGTTAACTTACTCAATGTTGTTCAAATTAGAAAAAATCTTGACCATTTATTATATAAAATTGTATAAAATAATGAGATCCTTTTGTAGTTTTTGTACAATTCTTATTTTACACGGTTAATAATTTATATCTGGTACAGATTATCTACAGTTATCCACAGGATTCGTTATGTTTATATATTAATTATCTATAAATTATATTTATATAAATTAAACATTAGACGTCTCGCCGGCTTTAACGTAACGATCATTTTCATCAGAATTTCTTATATTGCTACTGGCCGTATTTTAACGATAAGTCCTTTTAACAAAATAGCAATTATTACCTTCATTTCTAGCATTGCGAATTTTTTATCTAAGAATGTAAAATCAATAGTAAATTCATTTTCTAGAATTTATGGATTACAATTTGAATATTATATAAAACCAAACGTAAGGAATAAATGTAGGCACAAGATTGAATGTCAGTTCACGTGCTGAGATTAGATAAGCACCTTACGCCGGACGTAGATCGTTGGCCCATGCTCTAAAAAACGTACACGTGGATAGCAAAAAGTGACAATGCGAGAGTTAAAGAGCGAAAAAAATGATTATCTATATAGAACATTAGGGATGATAACAGAGAGTAGAACATGTATATAATGTATAATTAACGAGTGAATTTTTTTCTTCTTAATATTGTTAAATACGATGAAAAGGTATAGTTTCTTACTTGTATAGTTTCCATTTAATTTTTATAACATGTCTTTCATTAAGTGCCTAAAGAAAAGATTAATTTAACAAAATGGTCATTTTAGCATTTAAAAAATCTCATCTATTTATTCTTTATTTTCTAAAGGCTCTTTAGAGGGATCGTTTAGAAAAAATCTCGTGAATAAATAAATTATTTCTGCAAGAATTTACACAACTCCATATAAATCTAATACTTTAATTGATATTCATGAATAATATTAACAAATTACTGCTAAGAATGTGTGTGTGTGTGTGTGTGTGTGAGAGAGAGAGAGAGAGAGAGAGGATGATATGAAATAGAATGAGAAGAGAAAAGGAAGAATATGTATATAGGATTAGAATACCAAAATTCACATGATATAGTTATTTCATGAACTTCGTGTATGACGCAATTTTAATTAAAAGTCTTCTTATCAGCGTAACAATGATTATTGTCATATTTAGCATAGCAAAATTTTGACCTAAAAAAATAAAATCAATTGTAAATGCATTTTATCTTAGAATTTTCTGGAATATATTATAAAATAATCTATAGGAGTATGTAATTACCTATGCAATTTCTTCGACTGTAACTAAATGGAAAGAAATATGTAGAACAATTCTTTTTCGATAGGAAGCTATCGGGATCGAATAGTAATGGCCAATATTTTGCGCTTCTAGAAAGTTTACAAATGAGAAACACTGCTGAACTACCTTTCGGTATAGTCCAAACTTCTCTCATTTAATACGATTAATAAAAAATATTATTACTATATAATATATTCATATTATTAATGATAAAAAACATAAAACTAGTCATTTTGTATGCAGAGATACCTTCTATATCTTGCGTCACCCTCCGGGCGATGACTGGATATGCGAAGACGTAACGTTTCCTTGATCACACATTCCAAAAGTTTCATACTTTTAATATCATTATATGTCATTGGAACATATTTTGGATCGTCCGTGCGGTAAATTCGATTAACTTCCTCATATACATGCGTACTTGAATTTCCGGGTATGTTGCAAGCATTAAGAGAACAAAGCTAATGGTTACGGCTGAAGTTTCGCTACTCTGAAAGTAATATACAGTTTTTCTTAATTGTCATGAATAAAAAAATATTTATTGGAATTAAAAATAATAAATACGATTTACAGCTATAATTATTCTATTCATTTCATCGCGGATATCTTACTCCGAATATTTTCCCCTTTCGTGAGACAATTCAAATAAAAAATCTAGAAGTGTCCTTAACTTTGATTCTTGAAAAACGAACAAGAATCTCATTAATATTATTAATAAATGAAAAGATTGAAAACTAAATTTTATTAAACATATATTTCATATTTTTACCTAAATTTCCCTCTGTCAATTCCCGATTAATTTTACTTTTCAATATAAATTACTTCTTTTCTTTAATTATCTTTAGGAATAAAAAACAACAATATATATATAAAATATAATATTAAAATTTTGAAAATTTGAAAAGTAGGAATACAATTTAAAAAATGTTTCTTCTAATTATACTTTATTTGTAAAGTTATCCAGATAAGACAAATACGTCTGGTATTTCTTTTCTATAACGGTCTTATAAAAAATTATGTTCGGAAGTAACCATAATTTGAAGATCCTCTGTGCAGCTATATCCATTCCACTGAAAAAGCAGACGAAAAACATATAATGCATTACAAAAGTAAAAATTTCATTATTGTTACCATTATATTAATTTAGCTAATTTGCAATCCGGATTTTTCAGCGAATTTATTTTCTTACCCAGCATGCCGTCTTCCAAAAAAAGTTTAACAAAATTATAATAAACTTTAAACAAAAACGTCAATTATATACACGTGTAAAAATATCTAAATTCTACCACATATTGTATCCAATGTACAACGAAAAATATAATGGAAAACGTCTAATTCTTCTCCAACTGAAGTTTCCAATTTTTTCATTAAAACGATAGAATAATTAATGAATACATCCATATGCGATGTTGTATGTTTTAAAAGAAAGACATCATTTAAAATTTTTCGATGACGATTCCATAATGATGCTTAAAATCAAAAGGAAAGCAATAGTTTATTTTACATACTTTACTTATTTTATTCGTCTAGACATACATATAATACATTTATTTGTATGTGCATATAAAGGAGCAAAAATTTTTACTGTTCAATTTTCTAAAATTTAATATTTTATATATATATATATATACATATATATATTTATGTATTAGTATTAATAAACAATGTAGAAAATATACTTTACCTGGAGCAGTTAACAAACCATTCCCCACAAAAGGTTTAAATTTTTCATATTCCTCGCTCTTATCAGTAATATTTGGACTATTGAATACAGTCATCCGATAAAAAATAAAAATATAAAATAAAACGACTATATAATTATTAAAAATTATTAAAATAACGTTAATATATCTTACTTTGATATATTCGGGATTGTCTACGATTACAAATAATATCGTTCCTGGCCATATAACACTTGAAGACGAGCAGAATTTACTCCCAACAAGACCTGAAAAATCTAAGGGATCACAACATGTTCCCAGCAGAAAGGCTTAGTCTTCTAAATACTATAGCGCGAGGAGCAACTAGACACCATGTTCCACCAAACACTATCTCATTCTACAATCTACTAAAGAAAGTGATTTCACTAAAATAACCGAGAACACCCTCTCGAACTTGTGTGATTTTTCATGTTCCGATCAGCGAGTGCCGATGTTATTGGACTATTTATAATAATAAAGGGCATAAAAATTTGTGTTAATCCGGTTATCCGAGGATAACTCAGTGTATGGTTGGAATTTACACCTGCTATGTGCAATCTGGAGTTCATTGACACATCTGCTTTTACACTTGGGACGACAACGACCACCGAGGAGCCACAAGGACAAGGTCATGAACGACAATAAAACCAGTAAGTTTTTAAGTAAGTGTCGAATATGAAAACCAATGCTAGCAGAAGGTAGCGTTGCGACTCCGACTCCCACCGCAAGGACATCGCTAAAATACCCTATCCTTGAGAAAATAATTGCAATAGGCGGTATTAAATCACCGAAGCACCGAACACCGAACGATTTACTTAAGGAGGTAGTTGTCACGTCTTCGTATGTAAGTCAACCAGAAACTATGAAAGACACTTTAAAGAAGAGAAACCCTTATAGGCAAAAATACGTGTGCTTGTAGAGCGATACCATTTTTCATTTGTTTCTCCTCTATCTTTCCCCATAAGAATAATCATTTGAAGCTTGTAGTTAATAAATAATTTAGAATTATCTATAAGACACGTAGTAAAGAAATACGGGAAGACGATGGAAGACGAAAAGTATGTGCAAGAATGCAAATGCATCATGCCCCTTTTACTCTTGGCAAGATAGCGCGCACAAGAGCCACACGTGCAGAGATAAAGCTGACCGAGAAAGTAAATGCAGGGACAGCGTAACGCAATGGCTTAAGCCCTTGACGACAGAAAAACGCGCGAGAACGAGTCGTGCAAGTAGATGCGTGCAGGCGAGGCGCGTACTATGTACGCACCTAGCGACTGAACGCTGCAGGAGAACCCGCAGCAGAAAACACTTCATCGTCAAAACTTTATCAACCGCAGTCGTTTAGATAAATTCATTGCAGCCGTTATCATCAGTTCGTTGCAGTCAGTCGTTATGATCACTTCGTTGCAGTCAGTCGTTAAGCGCAGTTCTTTTACAATTACGATACTTAAGACTTATAATCTTGTTATTCATTGTAAATTTCCATCACCGATTTTATACCAAATAAATCAATTCGTGAAAGTGAAGACAAAGTGTCGAATACCGAGCATCGCTTCGCCCTATTATTCCTCAGTTATCGCTAACAAGAGGGAATCAATTCAAGGGTCAGTAGTAGGAACCCTCGAAAGAAATAATGACGCGAGAAATGATGTTCGGAGCCGCTCTCATCATTTCATCGAATAAGTAAGATAAAATAAATCTTTTCTGACGCAGTTTGACTACCCTATTGAGATGGAAAATAGAAAAAAAGAGCTTCGCTTCCGTGCAAAATTCCGAAAGGATTGACCGAAAAAATGTCGCGTGATTAGGTCGGTGTAATCGGATGACTGCAGAAACTTCGATTACTCTACACCCATTCAAGACTCAACTGTTGACGTCACAATATAAATAAGTGGCATTACCTGATATCGATACAACAGAAGTCTACCCTAACAACGGTAGTTGAAAAAATACTACCTTTAGTAAAGTATAGTTAATTAGTTGAATTGACATCTTGATAACATACCCGTCGAATATACGCCTGACGATATACAAACAGAAATTATCTATCTGCGGTCGGTAAAATTTTCAGTGATATTATCTAATTTACAGATTCACTTAAAAATTATAATTATTTCGATTATTTTGAGATTATACTTTTCTTTATTATCTCGGTTATTTGTAATTAAAATCGAAAGGTAGCATTCATCCTTATGGAAATATTTCTTTCCATTTTCTTAAATATTATATATATTTAATCCAATTTTATGTGGAAATATTCACGTCAGATTTTTCATTCCGTTTTAATTATACAATTATCTACGTTCCTTTCTTCAAATAATTCAATGTTTAAATGACACTTTGACTGCCCTAATCATTAAAAGTTTTTCAACGATATAAAGAAACTTTTTAATGTTTCAAGATTCAATGAAGAAGTTAAACTTTTCGACACTTTCATCGCTTACAATGTAGATAAATAAGCTCATACAATAATACCTTACTCAATGTTTTTCTATTCATTCAGAATGTCTTATATAAAAATTTCTAATTACGTTATCAACTCTCCAATTCGAACGTCCAATCATTCTTCATCGTCTCGAAAGTCATAATAACCGGTTTTTTAGAAAAACTAAATTTAAAAAACGAATAATATAATAATCCTGATCGCAGCTTCAAAAACTGCCTCTACTCCTTAGATTATGTTAATTCACCCATTATAGTCATATAGGTAAAAAAGTAGACGAAGGATATGCAAAATAAAAGACAAGAAAATAAATTTTGCAGGAGTTGCAAATTATTGTCGAAAGAAATCTGACTTCGTTGCTCATACTTAGGAATATTCAATAATGCGCGCTTGCATGTGTATGATTAATGTGAAATGTAGAAGAAGAAAGAGAAAGAGATAACCTTAACGACAAGAAATGATCCGATACTTTCTAAAAATAGAATAAACCGATAACTGAGAAGAAATGAATGTCATTCAAGAAATAATAAAGTCTTACTTCCACATGTCTATTATAACTATCTCAACAAAATTTATCTGATTTAATAATAATTAAAAAAATTTCTAATTAATATAATAAATAATTTCTATATAGCAGTACGGTGGTTATTCAGTTTCGCACCGTTTAGATACAATCGAATTTAACCATTTCGAGCGGTTTAATCTGATATACCACAATCAATCAACATCATTCTTTTCCTTTCCGTGGACGTTCTTATCATCTTCAAGGATAGTTCGAGAAAAACTGCCATTTTAATCAATTTGTACCTTTAAAGCTAATAATAATAAGATAACCGTGTTTTACTAGGATAATTACCGATACACAATAACGAAACGTGAATATCGAAATTTTTTATCATTATACTTAAATTACTTCCTTACAGATTTAAATTGACTTAATGTTTTTTATCCCGTATATTCCTCACAAGCTTTCCTGGATCCATAGAAGACATTGCGTTATTCCATTAATTTCCGGTTACAAGGCAATGTAAAGAATAATTTTGCAGGAAAATCCGACGAATTCCGAGCCTAGCGCCTAGTTTAATGTCATTACAACCAGTGATTCTATAACATTTGTCCAAAATTTCTTAATGATTTATGCCATCATGAAAACAGACATAATTCTTGACCAATTTTGACGATCACGTTCTCGATTTCAAAACAAGTTTACTGCATATCTTTTCCGAATTTTGGAAAGAACTTTTCGTTTACGCATAAATAATCATCGAATAAAAATAACATACTTTACACGATTTTTTTCGAAGATAACTTTTCGAAAATTCAATACATTGGATTAAATCTTCGTCCTTAAAATGACAACTTTTCTCAATTGTTCAAGAATTACTTCTATCTTCATCGACGGCGTAAATGCCGTTTTCTACATTTCTCGAAGAAAAAATTTATTACTGTGATGTTTGTAGTTCTTTATTATATTTATAGATTAAAAATATAGAGATTATGTAAGCAATTTGTAGCACATTTGCAGGCATTTAGTTTAGTAACACAAGAAATCATACGTTCAATTCTAACGAAACTAATGAACTAATTTACTCTCTCCTTCTCCTTATTCGATAATTTAGTAATGTGTTACTATTCAATCTCTTACATTTCTGTACATTTCATCCACTAATACCTGACGAGAATTTCGCTATTATCCGTGATAGCATATATACGTGTTATAGCAACAGTATAATATTGTTGGATTAGATATGAATATTAAGTATATAAATTTGTCGATTACTTTTTCAGATTTAATGAACATATATATCATATATTAGTGAACGTATACATTATATATTATTTTTAATAAGGGTCAAAGCTCAATGTTTTTTCCAGATTATCTACGAGATTTTTCTCCCAGCGTTATTTCGTCATGGTTTCTTCTGTGTGAGTTCACTTTATATTATTTCAGTTACTACTACTATTATTATAGAAATAATAAAAAGAAAAATATCATAAATAGAAGAATATATCTATATTGAATACACCATGACAAATATGATGGCGGTAATTTACGATACATAAAAGAAAAGGAAGTGTTTCATTTTACGTGATATCTTTACAGTATAAAATAAGAATTGTAAAAAAATTCCAAAGGATCTGATTATTTTATAAGATTCTATATAATATATGATCAACGGATAAAGACATTGAAATACATATTTATAAATTCTTATAAATTAATTTTCTTACAGTTTAGTAAAAATTTAAAAATGCATTCTTCTAGATTTATAGTACCTTCTCAATTATTAATATCAATTAAACTTTTGTCTACATTCACACAATTAAAGGAGAAGTATATATAAAAACCTAAAACGAATAAATATTGGATTTATAACATATTCGTCATTCCAGAATGACGAATGAAGAATTAATTTACATCCGGTTTATAACGCAATGTTCAGTCATCGCATTTCTTTTATTAATAAGAAGTGGGAACAGAAACAATTTTGGTGCCATCTCCGATCTTTCTAGACTGTTCTTGTCCAATCAAAGGAGAAATGCCAGATGTAAACAGTAATCACGTGAGCAAAGTATGATTTATGGTATCTTTAAATATTTCTCGCTTTTCTATTCCATCCTTAGTTTCTGTAAGGATAGAAGTGTAGTAGGAATCGTTGCGTGGTGATATCAAATTACCCTTAAATCTCAACAATTATTATTAGGGATATAAGATTATTTTCATTATATTAAGTCGTTTATATATATTCCTATTGATCTAATTCATCATGTATTTCACTGTAATATTAATTATTATTCCAACAATTTTATTTGGACTATACTATGGAATAGCAGAATACTTTTTAAATAAATTACATATGTTAAATATTATCAACGGCATTCCTGGACCAAAAGCATTTCCTATAATAGGAAATGCTCATCTGTTTATTGGCGACACAACAGGTAAATTTGTATCAGCAATTTTTTAGATATAAGTATTTCATTCAATAATTATTTATAACCTCTATTCTAGCTCTATGGAATCAAATACTAAATCTAGGTAAGAATTATCAATTATTGTGGCGTGTATGGATAGGCACGAAATTATTTTTAGTAATAGAGAATCCTGAATATATCAAGGTAAGATCTATTAGCGTCATTTTAATAATTTTTAATGATATCATAATCCTTTCATTTTGTATTTTTTTTTTTTCGGAAGACTGTACTCAATAGTCCAAATATTATTGATAAGAGCGAGGAATATGAAAAATTGAAACCTTTTGTAGGCAATGGTTTGTTTACTGCTCCAGGTAAAGTATGTATCCTCGACATTGTTTACCAGTACAAAAATAATTATATTAAGTATGTACTATATAATATATTCTTTTTTGTAACATTTAATCTTATGAAATTGAATAGTAAAAAATTTTTGCTCCTTTACTCACACATACAAATGAATGAACTGTATAAATATACACAAGATCTTTTCTCTTTTATTATAAACATGTACATATAGACGAAGAAATTAAATAAAATATGTAAATTAAAATAATATGTGAATTATGTAATATAAGTGAAATATGTAATTTAAACACTAATTGCTTTCCTTTTGATTTGATTTTAGCATCAGTATGGGATTCACATCGAAAAGTTTTAAATAAAATGTTCCTTATGAAAGATATAAAGTCACATATGGATGTATTTGTTCATCATTCTATCGCATTAACGGAAAAATTGGAAACATTGGTTGGAGGAGAAATAGACATTTTTGGTTATGTCTTTCGCTGTACTTTGGATATAATATATGGTATTTTAATTTAGAAATTTTTAATGTTTATAAAATTTATATTCATTTATTTGAAATTACTATAATTTTGATAAACTTTATATTGGAAGATGCCATGCTGGATACTCACCTAAATTCGCTGACAAATACAGATTGTAAATTAGCTGAATCAATACAATGGTAATAATAATGATACTTTTATTTTGGTAACATATTATGTATACTTCTAACATTTTGTGTGCACTTTCAGTATGATGGATACATCAATAGAAAGGATCCTTAAATTATGGTTACATCCGAACATAATTTTTTATAACACTGCTATAGGAAAGAAATTTCAGGCGTGCGTAGCTTATCTGGATAATGTAACAAACAAGGTATCATTAAAGCAAATAATTTTTAAATTGCATTACTTCTTTTCAAAATTAAGAAATTTTAATAAAATATTTTCTATACATATCGTTATTTCTTGTTCCTAAAGATAATCAAAGAAAAAATGGAATCTATATTAAGAAATAAAATTAATCGGCATTTGAAGGCGGAAAAGTTAGGTATAAATAAGCAATATACCTTTAATAAAGTTTAATTTTCAATCATGTCATTTATTAATGATAGATTCTTGTTCATCTTTCAAGGACAAAAAGAGAAGACTCTTTTCGAATATTTATTCGAGTTATCAAACGAAGGAGAAGTATATACGGAGAAAGATATTCGCGAAGAAATGAATACAATAATTATAGCTGTAAGTCGTATTTATTATTTTTAATTGCAATAAAATTTTTTTATTAATGACAATTAAGAAAAACTGTATATTACTTTCAGGGAAGCGAAACTTCAGCCACAACCATTAGCTTTGTCCTCTTAATGCTTGCAACATTCCCGGAAATTCAAGTACTTATATATAACAATTTCTTAATAATTTGTCATTACTTATCCGACGTAAATTATATTCATATTAACATCTTATCATGTCTTCCAAACCTTCGATCACAAAGGGCAAAGTATATGAGGAAGTAAATCGATTTTGCTGCTCGGACGATCCGAAATGTGTTCCAATGACATATAATGATATTAAAAGTATGAAACTTTTGGAACGTGTGATCAAGGAAACGTTACGTCTCTTTCCTGCAGCTCCTCTCATTGCCCGGAAAGTAACGCAAGATATAAAAGGTACCTCTGCATTCAAAATGATTCTATATATGTATCTTTTCATTGTTTTACGTTTAATATTTCATTATTAATAATATGAACGTATTTTATAGTACTAATATTTATTTATTAATTATATTAAGTTACTAAAAATTGGACTATACCAAAAGGATGTTCAGCAGTATTTCTCATCTATAAACTACATAGAAGTGCAAAATATTGGCCACGGCCATTAGTATTTGATCCTGATAGGTTCCTACCAGAAAAGAATTGTTCTACGTGTTTCTTTCCATTTAGTTACGGTCGAAGAAATTGCATAGGTAATTACATACTCCTATAGATTATTTGAAAGTATATTCTAGAAAATTCCAAAATAAAATACATTTTCAATTGATTTTATTTTTTTAGGTCAACATTTCGCTATGCTGGAGATGGCAACAGTAATCGCTACACTGATAAAAAGATTTAGAGTTACAATAGACAAGCCAATAGAAATTGCAAAAATAGATGTAAAGTTGAGCATCACATTAAAACCGACGAAACCAATAAGATTAAAATTTGAAAAAAGAAATTAATTAAAACATAGAGTATACATGCATGAATATATATATATATATATATATATATATATGTATATATGTATAATACATAATTAATATATTTATATATAACGAATTCTGTGAGTAATAGCTAACAATCTGTAGTAGAATCATATTATTATCTGTAAAAAATAAAAACCGACTACTTGTCATTTCATATAACTTTATATAATGTTTATGTATTATTATACACCTTGAAGATCGTTATATTTAAAGTATGTGTAAATTATTGTTTTTCTAGTAATATAACAAAAATACATCGTCATAGACTTTCTACTCTGTAATGTTCTTTTAATTAACCTTTACCTTATGAAAGGCATGTTGTGAGGCAATGTACTAAATTTCTTCTAATCGGATTAGGAATATTGGATTAATCAATGTCTGACGAGGAAAACAAACTGTGATTGAAAGAGGAACTCAATTATTCATTTCGTAATGAAGTATTAAAATTTTATTTTACCAAGTACGACGAGATTGGTGATATCTTAGTATTATATTACCTCTATAAAAGACCAATATTTTGGTAGGACACATCAACGAGATAATTTCTTGTTTATTGGGACCGATACAACAGAATCCATTTGTAAAATAAATCTCGTTCTGTATTTATCCTTTATTTCATAACGGCTAATTAGAAAGATCTTTAGAGGTAATCCACAACAGTTAATAAATTTTTTCTGAAATAACTACGGCACCGTATGAAATTTATCGCTTATTCGAAGATTGTTAGAGAAGGAGAGAGAAAAAAAGACAATGACATGAATTAAATGTAAGAAAGCAACGAAAATGAGACATATATAAGATCAGCATATTATCATTATGACAATTAAGTAAATAATAATCAATCTTGGATGTCTAGTTGTCTCCTTTCTCAAAGCCTCTGATTACGAGCCTAGTGTTTACACTAGGAAATTTGCCTTGAGATTATGTCATTATAAATGTTTGCATTCTTTCTGGTTCTCTCTCTTTCGAAAATCAGAGTTTACAAACAAGAAAACTAATGTATCTCGTTTAACTAATCCCATTTACATGTTATATAACGTAATGGTATACATCGATATACATCAATATTAATGCCGACAAAATACTTTTGATGAAAAATAAGATTATTATATATCGTCCGTTCTAGCAGACGAACCGAGAGATGTTGAAAAATGAATGCGACGCGGAAGCGATCGAATCAAGTGTGAATTCACATAATTCAGATAGCCTAACACTCTGGGCCGATGTCGAAGCATACTTTAACATAGATTTATGTAATTTCACTTCTAATTACAGCAATTATGGTTCCCGAATTAATAGTAAAGTAATTTATCAACATCTTAGCATGCGACTGTTTTTTTGTTTGACGACCGATCTCGTTGAAAGAATTATGGATATATAATAATTTTCTTCTTACTGAAGATATTCCAAAGAAGTGATTATCGTTATATGTTACAATTTGCATATATGATTGCATATAACATACATCATACATATAACATGTTGTATTTGTTATTTAAATCTTTTTAAATTAGTCGATACGTATTGTTACATTTACCATTAAAATTCCACGTGTACAATCACAATAGCTACTTCATCGCAGAAAAGAAAAGCAAAGTACATTAAGCATTCGTTATTAGATAATGGTTAAATTAACACGTGTGACAGCTATGAAGCTATTATGGAAAAGCCGGAAAAGAAAAACAATTGGATATGATCTGCGGCAATTGCAGAATGATTGCATATTTAGTTATAATTATATTAATATACCAATCATATCTAAATATCTTTCATTTCATTTTCTCTTATTTCATATCATCCTAATTATCTCACTCCTTCGCACTCACACACATATCGTCAAATTAATTATCTTTATTTGCTGAAATACACATTCCTGCAAATTGACCATTTTTTTTTTTTTATTAATAAAGGAATATACAATCAATTCTCATAGAGAATTATAAATATTTTTGCTGACGTGATATACTGACATGAGTTGTAAGTTCAAGACGACATTACAATGAATAATTAAGCTAATCAAAAAAAGAAATTAATTAAATCTTCTTCCTAGATCAGAAGTGTAGAACCTTTTTAGCCTACATACTAGTTCTGAGGTTATTAGCAATTTATTTGCTAGAGGATTCGGATGTTTAGCTAGACGAATATTGTAGCGTTCACTGAAGTTAACAATTTCTTCCTTGACTGTAAGAATTCTTGAATCAATATGAATCCTTTCGTTTGTTACATACCAAGGGGCATTGCAAATATTCCGCAGGGCTTTTGATTGAAATCTTTATAGAATTTCTATGTTAGAGTTACTAGCGGTTCTCCATAGTTGAATTCCATAGGTCCAAATGGGTTTTAGAATGGCTTTGTACATTATGAGCTTGCTCTCCAGAATTAACTTGGATGATCTCCCAATGAGCCGATATAGCTTTCTTACTCTTTCCTTCAGATAGGTTGTTTGGATTTAATATGATGTTTCCATGTCAGTCTATTATCAAGTACCATACCCAAGTATTTAACAGAATCCCTGGTTGGAATTACTGTTACATTAATTGTCACAGGAGGGCAAGTTCCCTTTCTTAGCGTGAAGGTTACATGTGCCGATTTATTTCGTTGACGTTAATTTGTCACTTTTGGCACCATCTTTCAAGCTTGTGTAGATGACATTGCTGTATTTCAGTTGCATTTTGAGGATTGCTGTCCGAAGCTAATAGAGCAGTGTCATCTGCAAATGTTGCCGTAGTTATCACCCCTGAGGTGGGTAGATCTGCTGTGTAAATTGTATGTAGTAAAGGACCGAGTACACTCCCTTGTGGGACACCAGATAAGAAAGGGAATGCTGTGGTGATTGATTGATTTAAATACTTTACTATGAATTTTCTGTCAGTGAGGTAGGATTTTACGATTGTGTAAAAAGAGTATGGCAGAGTTTTTTTAAGTTTGTGCAGCAATCCGATGTACCACACTTTATGAAAAGCTTGTCTAATGTCTAGAAATACTGCTATACAGTATTTTTTCCGTTCGAGATCTTGTGATAATTGACGTGTTATACGGTGAATTTACTCAGTTATGGAATGACGTTTTTGAAACCCGAACTGAAGCTCAAGGAAAACTGGTGCATCTAGTGCATCGAAGAGGCGACTTATTAGCATTTTTTCAAATAACTTGGATGTAGTGGATAAAAGACTGATTGGCCGATATGACGTAACTTCATGAGCTGGTTTTCCTGGTTTATGAATAAGAGTTATGATAGCTATTTTCCAGGATGTTGGATAATAACCTAGACGTAGAATTGCGTTAAATATAGAAGTTATTAATGCTATCCCTTTCTTTGGCAATTCTTTTATTATCTTCCCGTTAATTAGATCTTTACCAGGAGCCTTCTTTGAATTTGCGTTAGCTGCAATTGTTAATTTGATCTCCATTGACGTAAAGGATTTGATTTGTGGCGACAATTGCAAAGGCGCGTTCAGGAAATTCCTAATTCCTTCTTCATCGATGAGTGAAGTGGAGACAGATGGTTTAAATGCATCAGCCAGATAAGGGGCAAAGAGGTTTGCTTTGTCTATTGATCTTCTTGCCTATCCACCTAGTGGTTGGCGAAGTGGCGTTATGTCTTGACTTCGACGAGTGAAGCACCTGGTGGCTTTCCAAAGTGAATAGTTTGAGTCCGCTGTGGGAGATAAGTTCATTAAAAATTTTTGGAATCCTTCATTTTTAAAGCGTTGTAGAGATCTTCTTAAAACTCTGGTAGCTTTATTTAGTTTATGCTTGTCCTCAAATAATCTGCTATTGTGCCAGATTCTACGCAGCTTTCGTTTTTCTGCAATTTTTTTCATGATATATACGGGATAAACGTAGTCATACAACCATTCCAACTTAGATGCAGAGTCTCGAACAGCGTCTACTATATTGCGCGTTAAGTAGTTTATTGCATGGTCAACATCGTCATTTGTCACTAATGGTGGTGATTTAACGGTATAGGAGTTGAAGGCTTCACGGAAATTATTCCAATTTGTGAGTCTATTGTATATGGAGATAGGAATGTTATTTTCAATGATGTCTGAATGTATTGTCGCTATGATTGGAGAATGATCAGAAGAAAGAACCTCAAGTGAGGAATTGACTTGGATGTAATGAGGATTCTTCTTTTTGTATAATGTGTCTAGGAGGGCAGTAAACTGCTGATATGCTAAGCGAGCTGTGCCAGTCATATATCATAACACTAGTTGCCTGGATGTGGTTTTGTTTGTATGGCGCAAGCTCATAATGTTTGATGTTATCTTTGATGATAATCCCTGTACCCCCATGTGTCCTTCCACTGGGATGGTGCGTGCAATACACCTTATACCCATATATTCTAAAATAAGTTTTATCGGTAAAATGCGTCTCAGATACCAGCATTATTTGAATGTCTTGATTTTTTAAGAAAGATTCCAACTCAACTTTTCGTTGCATCAAACCGTTGGCATTCCAAAGAGCAAAACGTAAAGTCCTCATTAATTTTTGGTGGAAGTCAATTTATTTAAAATAGCCGTTAATAGAGAGATAAGGTTATTTATTTCTTCCGTTTGCTTTTCAATTAGTTTTTCTAACTTACTTATATTTTCTCAATTGCACGATTTATTCTTATTATTTTCTATAATAGAAGAAGTTGGACTAAGATTATTTGGTGAGAGATTGCTTCTTGTAACTGCTTGTGCATAAGAAAAGAATGGATCGATAAAAAGTTGGTTATCTCCAATAGGGTTAGTCTGTGAGCATAATTGTATATTTGGATTTTTTCTGTGACTAGATTTCGGGAATGTTTTTTCGAGCAATTCTTTATAATGAGGGCACCCTTTATAGTTTGCGGTATGGTGGCCACCGCATAAGTGACAAATTGGAGAAGTTTCAATGGATTTTTTACATTCTACAGTTGGATGAGAATCTGCACATTTTACACACTTATATTGGCGATTACAGTACTTTTGGGAGTGGCTGTATCGTTGGCATCTTTTGCATTGAACTATTTCTTTCTTTTTTATGGGTGGTTCAATTTTAACTATAGTATTATTCAGTCGACTTATGTTATATATAGATTTATTATTTGGGTTTTTTTTTAAGAACAATATAGAACATTGACAGGGGCTTGTGTGTAACTCTGTGTCGAATGTTATTAATATTATTTACTTCATGCCCGAGCTCTTGTAATTCGTCCTTTAAATTATCCAAATCAACAGAGTGATGTACATTGCGTAGAACAACACACAACGACCGTTCTTGTTTGAGTTGGAACGTATGAAAACTTGCGTTAGATGATTTTAATAATTTAGCAATTTTTCTATATGTATCTGCGTCAGTTGGTAGGATACGAACCTGGTTGTTATTAATTTTAAATTTATAGCTCTCTTTTTTAACGATTTCATCCAAGCATCTCGTTAAGGATTGCATGTCTATTACGTCATCTACATAAATTGGAGGGGGCGGAGGTACTTTTGACAAGGTTCGATTTTCTATCATGTCTATATCCATGATTGTATTTAAGATTGAGTATCTGTTAGCCGTTAGAAGTACTGCTTCAGGTCTTGGTTGCCCTTCATCACTGCCATCGTTTTTTCTTGGTCATTTTTTGTTGTTAGAATTTGTTGCATGTCTTGAAGAGGCAACTATTTGCCATTGCGGAAATAGGTTTGATGATAACATATCATGGTCCAGAATATGCGAAGATCTCGTCTCAATTAGCCGACCCGATTTTGAAAGATATTCTCTATAACGGCTTGCTATGTATTTTTCCCGATATCCTCTACGTAAACACAACACTCGCGGAACTCAGCTTCGTACGTCTGTATACTCAGAAGGCTAGAGCGCGACACCCAAATTGACCATAACTATGAAAATATCTTTTAAATTATACATTTGTCACAAGCCTAACGCATCAGTCATCATCAAGATTTTGTCATTGAGTATTCGTACTTAAATAATACTTTTAATCTAATGAGCGATTCTATTATAATATTTAATAACAGAATTCAATAATTGCATCATCATATTAAATCAATTCTGATATGAAACATATGAAAATCATGCAAATCGAAATATAGTTCTGCGTAATCCTTTTCGATGCTAATATAAAATATTGTTTACGATTCCGCAATTTCTTTTCCAGTCTATATTTTTTCATAACATTTCAATTTTAACAAGGACGCGTAAATATACATCTCAGATACTAAATGGAGTAATATAAATATTGATAATGGAAAGCATACACTCATAAATTTTCTTCGTTCTTGCTTTCTTTATCATAGAGCAATTGAAACCTTGCTATAAATTCTCTTTGAATATTCGCTAACGATCGTAACTAATATACTAGATTTCTAATCTCGTTTATAAATTCACTGTTACATTAATATCGTCACGTCTTCGTGTGTTGGTCAGCCAGAAAATATGAAAGTTTAAAGAAACTTTAAAGAAGAGAAACGCTTATTGGCAAGAATACGTGTGCTTGTAGAGCGATACCATTTTTCATTTGTTTCTCCTCTATTTTTCCCCATAAGAATAATCATTTGAAGCTTGTAGTTAATAAATAATTTAGAATTATCTATAAGACACGTAGTAAAGAAATACGGGAAGACGATGGAAGACGAAAAGTATGTGCAAGAATGCAAATGCATCATGCCTCTTTTACTCTTGGCAAGATAGCGCGCACAAGAGCCACACGTGCAGAGATAAAGCTGACCAAGAAAGTAAATGCAGGGACAGCGTAACGCAATGGCTTAAGCCCTTGACGACAGAAAAACGCGCGAGAACGAGTCGTGCAAGGGGGTGCGTGCAGGCGAGACGCGTACTATGTACGCGCCTAGCGACTGGACGCTGCAGGCGAACCCGCAGCAGAAAACACTTCATCGTCAAAACTTTATCATCCGCAGTCGTCTAGATAAATTCATCGCAGCCGTTATCATCAGTTCGTTGCAGTCAGTCGTTATGATCACTTCGTTGCAGTCAGTCGTTAAGCGCAGTTTTTTAGAATTAACAATTACGATACTTAAGACTTATAACCTTGTTATTCATTGTATTTTCCATCACCGATTTTATACTAAATAAATCAATTCGTGAAAGTGAAGACAAAGTGTCGAATACCGAGCATCGCTTCGCCCCATTATTCCTCAATTATCGCTATCAAGAGGGGACCAATTCAAGGGTCAGCAGTAGGGACCCTTGAAAGGAATATAGACACGAGGAATGATATTCGGAGCCTCTCTCAGCATTTCATCGAATAACTAAGTTAAAGAAAATCTTTCCTGGCGCAGTTTAACTGCCCTATTGTGAAAGAAAAAAAGGAAAAATGAGCCTCCCTCTCATGTAAAATTCCAAAAAGATTCACCGAAAAAGAGACGCGTGATTCGCTAGGTATAATTGGGAGGCCGCA